CACACACACACACACAATCTCTCACTCCCTCGAAGTTCAAAGCCCACAAAGAAACGAAGGCAACAGACATTAACGACAAACCGGAGTTAACTCACCTTCAGTGATCGGGCCGCCGTTGTCCAACGCAATGCATAGCCCAAGCCTCAGCGTCCAACCTCCAGGATGCAGAGTGCAGAGCCCAACCTCCAGCAAGCAAAAGAGCTTTAGCAACAACAACTCTGGGCGGGCGTGTCTGTGTGCGTGTGTCTTTGTGCGTGTATCTATGTGCGTGTGCGTGTGCGTGTGCTTGTGCCTGTTCTGTGTGGGTGTGTTTGTGTATATGTGTTTGCATGTATGTGTGTGTTGTGTATATGTCTGTGTATGTGTGTTGTCATTGTCACTATACACGACCCCTCAAGAAGAAAGCGTGTCTGTTGGTGTGCATATGTGTCCACCGTAGAGCAAAGTCGGAGTCGACCGGAGTCGACCGGAGTACCGTAGTAGCGAAGTCGAGGTCGGGGTTGAGCTCGACCGCTGCATACTACAGTAGCAAAGCCGAAGTCGAGCGTAGACGCAGCCAGTAGCGAAGTCGAAATTCAGCGTAGTAATGGCGTACTCACACAACGGTGGCATAGCAGCAAAATCTGTTCAGTAGTCAAAATATTTCCGGCAGCTTTTGGTGAAGTACTACCCCGCCCGGTCACACAGCGGGAGCGCGGGGGCCTCGCCCTGAGCTACAATCTCGGCCCACATGCCAGTAATTAGTATAGTTTACTATCACTGTGTGACACTGAGAAGCGGGAAACCAGCACGTGGAATCTATAGCATGAGCCTGGAATAGGAAAAAACAAAAACAAAAATTACAGAAAACGGAAACAGGAAAACACCCATGAACTGTTGAAATACAGACCTGTGCTCGAATCCAGATGATGGAACTTGACGAGTAAAACCAACTACTAATGAATTGCTTGGGGCCGGTCAGCTCAATGATAATATCTCAAGGCCGTCGCCCTTTAAAATAAAAAAAAAGAAAAACTAAAAAAAGAAAAGAAAACAAAGAGCTCAGTGGGTTCACCCATGAACTGGGGCTAGGTCCCACTTACACGAATTAAGCGATATTATTGACCGTAGATAACAAAGATCAACCGCCAGAATCTCTTAATCCGTGCAAGTGGGACCTTGCCCCTGTGTTCGAATCCAGATGATGGAACTTGACGAGTAAAACCAACTACTAACGAATTGCTCGGGGCCGGTCAGCTCAATGATAATATCTCACGGCCGTCGCCCTTTTTCAACAAAAAAAAACAAAGAAGAGTGCTTCGCTTACCTTCGTTTCCCGTCAGAAGGAGAGGGTGTGTGTGTGTGTGTGTGTGTGTGAGAGAGAGAGAGAGAGAGAGAGAGAGGTTCACCTAAACCAAAAAAAAAAGAGAGAGTGCCAGTGCTCCCTCGAAGGCAGGAAGTGATAGATGTTTTTTTTTTTTTTTTTTTTGAAACACCCCCACCAGTGTTAGTGCTGCTGATAAGAGCAGACACCACTAACACCTGGGAGAGGCTCCATCTATTGGTGGGGAGCGTCACCTGCTGGAACACGGGTCCAGCGTCCCATATACAGAAAAAAGAATGTCTGAGCAAAAGTGAGGACGGTGACTGTGGGGCCTGCCAGCATTGATTACCCTGCAACCCAGGGGATTGACTGAGCAGGCCTACGTAATGTCCGGCGGTGTAAACATCTGTGAGCTTTTCCAGGGTATCCCTATTTTCCTGACCAAGCCACCGTGGTGCTGTCCAGCATCCCATAGCCAGACGTTGCCTCCCCTCCTGTCCTGTGGCACGGGCGAGTATTGGGGGGGGAACCCACTGGGGGGCACCGGTGGAGTCTCCCTCCTTTACGTAGCCCATTGCCCACCGCCTACTCTCCTTATGGTGTCTTAGCTATAAACTGCCATGAGCTTGCCCTGAAATGAAATGAGCTGAAAAGGAGCTGAGAAATGAGCAGAAAAGGCTGAATTGAACTAAGATGAACTAAGATGAACTAAGATGAACTGGGTAAACTGAAGACAGCTGGAATAATGCTGAAATGGACTGAGCTACATCATGCTGTGTCATGCTGTGTCCAGTCGCTTGCCAGAAGATGACGAAGGGTGACAGGGTCGTGGTCATGGGGGGGGTAGGACTTCCTCCAAGGACAATGGGTGGGGGGGAAAGGGGTCTGCAAAATCCTGAGCGGGGCGTAGCGGGTCGGTCGTCAGCGTCTATCTTGGTCCACTCCCGAAAAATCAGCTGATAATCTCTTGTCGTCTCTGTGCGGGGTTCTTCTTGCGGCTCTCTTTCAGGCTGACGATCCCTGGCCCACCTGACCTCTGCCACCCATCCCTCCCTTTCCCCTCCCAACCAGTCCCTGCTGAAATGGGAGATAGTCCGGTTGATATCACCCCAGGTATGCATTTGGTCAAGTTTATCTTTGGCCGCCTTCCACTGGGCCGTGATTTCGTGTTGAACTAATATTCGTATTAGCTTAGTGGTTAGAGCACAAATTGGAAATGCGCATTGTGGTATGAGGTTGCGAGTTCAAAACTCTGCAGCCTTGCGCGTGGACACCGGCAGGGCATTAGAATGACGCAGGGCTGGACACACTCCTCTGGGCTGATGCAGGTAAGCTATTACAGACACTGCTTGCGCACCACCCAGGGGCAAGTCCATGGTTGTTGTATGTTGGGTTTGGGTTGTGGGATGTTTGCCTGATGCTCTTGGTTCTAGTGGTTCTTTGCAGGCTTGCATACTTGAGGATGATTTGTTGTGACACCCAACCTCACGCTCGGTGCGACTTCCTGATCGGAGTGGGATGTGGGCCCGGAAGTGCGAAAAGGGGTGTGCCAAGGATTTTTGGGAAATTGGGGGTGGGTCAGAACTGAGATCTCATGTGGCAAGGTTCCAGGGGCATAGGTGCAATGAGGCTAAGGGACGGGTTACTTTCGGTCTGATGGCGGTCGATGTCGTGCAGCATAAGGTAGATGGCATGCGCGGTGCATCTTGGGCCGTCCGATCCGCCCGTTCCAGTGACAGCGGTTCGGGAGAGGTCCGTTCGCAAGGGTTGTGATTTCTATGGGTCGGACCTCCGGGTGTGGACACATGGCGATTGACGTCGCGCGTTATGGTTAGGCTCCGTAATTCCAGAGGCTCGGCGGTTGCCGCGCCGTCTGCAATTTCTGCACGGCGTGTGGGGCCAATACGGGGCTATGCAATTCCACGGTACCACCGTGAGTTAGTGGTATGGGAGGAGGAGATGGAAGGGAGGGAAATTGGTAGCGATAACGACGAAGCCGGGGGATATGAAATATTGTGTGTTATAAGTAGTCGGGTAGTCGGGGCCCCTCGGGTCGTTGGTTATGGCGCGGTGAAAGTCCGTGGCACACAGTCGGTCGTTCTCAGTTAGACAGGGGAATTCCGGATTTCTCAAATTCCCCCGCAGCCTAAGTTGTTCTCCCTCCCAATATTCTCGGTACTCTGGGTCCCGCAATCTCTCCCGATCCGCAATGTACGACATTTTGTCATTCCGGCGAATCGCTAGCTGCAGCGTAGTGGGAACCCTCCGCACGCATCTGATCGTGCTCCGATTGACAAGGGAATTTCCGGGTATGGTGACGGAAATTCCTACCGGCTCAAATTCTCGCAAAAGGGAAAATTCCGCACTTATCCCAATACTGGAGGTGCCAAGTTCATCAGTGATCGCGAATTGCTCGCGTGTGGACACGTGTAGGCCGCGTTGATCAGATTGCGCTTACACGTGCGCACACGAGGGGTTCGATCGTACACCGGCCTGTTGGCTGATTTTCGTTCAAAAGTAAGGTTTCAGTCCTGCGTGCAAAATCGCCACGTGGCATAGATAATCACCCAATCTTTCAGTGATCCCGCAACCCAACAACATCCCTGGATTATGCAGAGTGACATCGCATCATGGCCTACTCATACATCAGATACTGTAAGGACGAGCAAAAAAAAAAACAACGAGTCATATCATTCAACCATCCATTGGGCAGAATCCATCAATTCATCATACACAAAAAAGGAGAAAGGATCGAAAAATCGATAAACGCGTCAGTCAAAGGCGAAAGCCATAAAAAATGTCAAATCGGAAAATAAGAGCGGATCGCCCGGAGCCAAGATCAAAACTTATATACAAGATTGAGAAAGACAAAGAAGATTGCAATCCCACGTCCATCCATCTCAACTCTCTCCCTCGCTTTTTCTCTCTCCGATGCGGACAGTCCGTCGTCACGCACCAACCCACGAAGTTGTCATCCCGCTTAGTCCTCCTGCGCCCGTCACGTTCGCCCGCGCGCTACAGTCTGTCGTAGCCCCACGCGTCAACCCCGCACATTTGGCACCAGCTTGTCGGGTCGCCCAACTCCCACTTCAACTCACCTCTTACTTCGTTCGTGAGCCGACCCTCACTGATCGCGCTACCTCGAGCTTCCAACAACCTTTTTAAGAGAGTTATCTAATCGTGCAACCGAAATTTAAAGTGTGCATGCATGCGGGACAAACACGGAATTGCAAGGACTTAGAAGGGAGAGAAGGGGAGGGAGTGCCTACGTTTTGCATGGCCAGATCGTGATGTGGGGGACGTAGCCACTCCACGCATCGATCCGATCATGCAGCCCGCGGACCGACTAGACACAGCGAAAGGAAGAGAGAGGGCGGGAAAGACAAAGCTCAAGAAGAAAGATACAGTTACAAGGGCGCCCGCCCAAAATTACAGTTACACGCAAGATTAAGGGCGCCGACTAATCAGAGCTCTGTTGCAGCCGCAAAAAGAAACGCGCGAGCAAAAAGCACCACGCGGCAAAAAAAATTCGAATTCCTAAATTCCTAAATTCCTATCTAATGCAAAAATGCAAAAAGAACTTTAATAAAGAACAAACCCCGAAAAAAAAGTCTGAAATTCCGAGAGCCATCGAGGGCTCGACAAGATGCAAAAAAGAAATTCAAAAAGAAAGAAGCAAAACTTCCGCGCGATCACCGCGCCGAAAACCCGACAGCAGAACAAGAAAGAAGTGACGTCAACCCTTATTAATCGCGCCTCCGTCGGCCCGCCAGCCACTCAATCGACCATCCCGGGACTTACCCAGCCCTGACCCCAGCCATCCGAAAGAAAGCGACGTAAAAAGAAGAACAAACAAGGACACCAATGCAATTTTTCTGTTGGATCCCATCTCCCATAATTAGCCCAACCTTCCCAGCTTAGGACCCCTCATTGTTGTCACGCAGAAAATCGCACGGAACAGGAATTGGTTCCTCACATTGTGCACCACCAGCAGGGCGTTAGAATGACGCAGGGCTGGACACACTCCTCTGGGCTGATGCAGGTAAGCTATTACAGACACTGCTTGCGCACCACCCAGGGGCAAGTCCATGGTNACACACTCCTCTGGGCTGATGCAGGTAAGCT